CCCTGAAGCACCCCCCCCCCCGCCCCCCCCCTGCCTCTGGCATCCCTTCCCCCCAACTTCCTCCCCCAGGTCACCATCCAAACCCTCTGCACACCCCCCCCCCTCCAGGCCAGAATCCTCTTCTGCACCCATACCCCCTCCCTGACCCTACACCTCAATCCCCTGCCCCAGGTCACCCGCCAAACCCTCTGCAGTCTGCACCCCTTTTTCCCCTTCTCCCAGGTCACTGCTCCCTCCCAGACCTTGTACCCCCTCCTGTACCCCCCCAGGCCAGAATCCTCTTCTGCACCCATACCCCCTCCCTGACCCTACACCTCAATCCCCTGCCCCAGGTCACCCGCCAAACCCTCTGCAGTCTGCACCCCTTTTTCCCCTTCTCCCAGGTCACTGCTCCCTCCCAGACCTTGTACCCCCTCCTGTACCCCCCCAGGCCAGAATCCTTTCCTGCACCCATACCCCCTCCCTGACCCTACACCCCAATCCCCTGCCCCAGGTCACAACCCCCTCCTTCCCCCCAAAGAGACCTCATACCGTTTTCTGCACCCCAGTCCCTTACCCCATGTGCCCTTCTGCACCCAACCTCCACAGAAAAGTGTGGCCCTTGACCACTTTCCAAAATCTTGGAGTGGCCCCCCTCCAGAAATTATTGCCCACCCCTGGCCTAGAGCCATAGGGGATTCCTGGCTTGGCTCAGTCTGCATCTACAGTTTGCAGGGAGCCAGGCTCTCCCAAATTCCCATCCATACAGCGCCCCCTGCTGGCCAGGGCACAGATTGGTCTGTGCCACGTGTGCAATGCCCCCTGCTGGTTGGGGCCCAGATTGGTCTGTGCCACGTGTGCATTGCCCCCTGCTGGCCAGGGCCTGGATTGGTCTGTGCCACGTGTGCAATGCCCCCTGATAGCTGGGGCATAGATTGGTCTGTGCCACTTGTGCAGTGCCCCCTGGTGGCCAGGGCATGGATTGGTCTGTGCCACGTGTGCGGTGCCCCCTGGTGGCCAGGGCATGGATTGATCTGTGCCACGTGTGCGGTGCCTCCTACTGGCCGGGGCACGGATTGATCTGTGCCCTGGCAGAGCCCTCGGGCATTGGTGGCCCCTTGGTCTCTCCCACTCTCTGCCCATCCTATGCAGCGTCTAGCAGCCAGGTGGCTGTGGTGGCACTTCCTTATTTTGTCATTTCCCTTTGGGACCCCTCTCGCCTGGCTCCGTGGGGCCATGAGCTGGGCGCAGCTGAAGGTGCCCCCTTGCCATCAGGAGGGCAGGTGGAATTGCATCTGGGGAGCCCAGCGCTGCAGGAAGCCCCCTCCCCAAGGGTCCAGGGTGGCGGAAGCTGGTAGCCCTTTGATTGGCCACGTGCACAGTTTATCCAGGAGACCGACTCAGGAAGTTGTCTGGCCCCTCTGACTCCTGCTTGCGCCCTCTCCTCTGCTCTGCCCTGGCCCTCGCTCACTGCACCTGGCTCTCGCAGGTCCTCTGAGCCCAGGCTGGAGGCGAACGTTGATGTGACTGCTAGGCCAGACAGCCCAGGAGGTGCCATCCAGGAAGCTGTGGTAAAGGCGCGCGGCGTTGCAAGGTGGGGCGCTCTGAGGTCGGGACGGGAGAGCCAGCACCCCAGGGCTTGGCTCGCCTTGGCGCTGAACATACGATCTGTCACAGGAAGGGGGCAGAAAAGCTGCTGCCCTTGGGGAGCGGGGCAGGCCTGGTCCCTCCAGTGAATTGCCCCCTCCCAAGTCTCGTGTGCTTAGGGAAGCGGGCAATGCGAGGCGAGGGGGCACTGCTGGGTGCAGCCTGCCCAGATGCCAGGAGCTCCCCCACCTTGCTCTTGCCCATCACTTTACATTAGTCGATTCAAAGCACGTTACACGGCAGCGCAATCCCAGTGCCCCCATTTTACAGATGGGGAAACTGAGGCACGCAATGGCATGGTGCCTTGGTCAAGGTCACTCCGCAGGCTAGTAGCAGAGCTGGGAATTAGAACAAGGTCTCATGGATCCCCAGCCCTGGCTCTGTCCACTAGGCCGTCTTGCCTCCCCAATCCACCCTGCCCCCCAAGCCCATATTCGGGGTGGTTGATCCCAGAGACTCCGCTTTGATCAGTTCACTTAGGAGGGGCGCGAGGCAGGTCGCCACGCTCTGGTTTGTATCCTGGAAAGGGCTGTAACCCCCGACAGCAGCCCCAGCGTCGGCTCTGTGTGTGACCCTGGCCTGCGAGAGCGAGAGCTGCGGAAACTCTGCCGAGAGTCCTGGAGGCACAAGGTCCGTCAGCGACCCAGTGACGGGCTGGGCCGGCCCCCCTGCCCACGCCCCGGGGCTAGGTGTATTTCCCCCGGCCCCTCTAGTCTCTCGGGGTGGGAAGACCTGCCGTTGCTATCAGCAGCCCTCAGCCTTGGACTTCAGCAGCGGCTCAGCGCCCAGAAACAGGGCTCAGCTGGCCTGCTCAGCTCCGCAGCGGGCCCCCAAAAGACGCCTTTGGGCCACGCAGAGCAAGGGGATCCCGCCTGGCCCCGCCGATCCCTCGGGGCAGAAGGACCAGAGCAGTGCAGCAATGAAACCAAGACGG